CGAAATATTTTAAAAATCCATATAACTTAACCGCAGACATTTTTCACATTTAAATAATGACAAAGAATCAACAAATATTTAATTTAGTCATATCATTGGAAACAAGGAGTAATAAACCTTTTATAAAAATATTCTAAATATCCAAAGGTAATAAGCTCTCAAAGATATCTTCCATCCTCCTTCTAAACCATGGAGAACATTAATTCTACAAAATTGTCCGGCTCCAAGATGTGTCCATATCCTGTGTATTTTTAAAGACACGAAGGCTGTCCTGATTAGATGGCCTCCATACACACAGTGACATCCACCATGTGAAGGAAGGCCTTCTACTCTGTCTAATCTGGCTAACAAAGAAACAAAGCACATAAAGAATAAACCTAACATATATATCATAGTTTTTTTTTCTTAAATCATTCTTAAACCAGTTGCTTCTGCAGGTGTGTGTGCAGCGTTGAGTATCAATCCTACAATCCCCCCCAAAAAAAGTTGTGCACCACTAGTTTAGTTTGCTTTACTGTATGTTAACTTGTCTGTTTTCTCTTAGAAACTGACAATCGTCCATATATTTCACAGAAAATTGCAAAGTTAAAATTGGTAAAACAGGCAAAGGACAAAAAAAAAATCTCCTGCATAACCTTTCATTTTCAAGTAATACACCCAAGTTAGCTTCCAAATCTCACATTTGGTCAAAAACCCTGCATTATGTTTATCATTATTACATCCAGATAATATTGAAATGTGAAAACATCAGAAATCTTGGTTCTGTTTAGCTGTGACAACAGGGTGCAGGATAACTTAACGCCGCTGGAAATCTCCCACCGGTCCACGTTTAAGGAGTGGATACAGGTTCTAAGTTCAATAGCCAGCTATGAACGACCCCTATAGGGTGGCTGGGGGAAAGACATATTTAATGAGGTGTGGGGCCCATTACTAGCTGGACATGTAAGGATGTTTCCTTGTACTTATATTTTATTAGATACAGGAACAGGCTTGCTATAATAGACTTTTTAGGGTGTTTTAGTGTTTTTTTGTGATTTATGTTATATGTTGTAGGTCTGGCTTGTTATTTACATTGTTGCTGGTCTGCTTTTTCTTTTTTTTTTTTTATTACTGTTGTTATTATCGTCTTGTTTTGTGATTATTTGTGTAGGGAAGACACAAAAAAAGAAAAACCTCTGTCTGACAAAAAAATAAACAATAATAACAATAATAAAAAAATTTATTTACATATCTACTTCCCTATTTTCTACACAGTGCATAATAAACCAGCTTTTCTTTTCTGATTTCACCACGGTTAAATTTCCCTACTTTTATTTTGAAGGATATGTCTACCGGAAGTAGTATTACTGTTTCCGGTTCGGTGTTACTAAAGCTGTCATAACACGCCAATGATTCGGTAACAGGACGGAATGTAAACGGTAATAAAGACGGTAGTTCCCAGGTTGGTGTTTTCTGTCCCTCGGTGGAAACGGTTCCTCCTTTCCGCTCAGTGGAAACCAAACTCAGCGATGGAGCTCAGTCCGCCGCCGCTCTTCACATTCGGGGTGATAACTGACGTTCAGTACGCGGACATTGACGATGGATTCAACTTCTCCCGCACGAGGAGGCGCTACTACCGGAGCAGCCTGCAGCTGCTGAGGAACGCTCTGAGCGGCTGGTCCTTATCGGCGGTTAAGCCTGACTTCGTCCTCCAGCTCGGTGACCTGATAGACGGCTTCAACAAACCGCGGGGCGCCTCGCAGGCGGCGCTGGACGCGGTGCTGCGGGAGTTCGCCTCCTTCCCCGCCAAGGTGCATCACGTGTGGGGAAACCATGAGTTTTATAACTTCAGCAGGAGCGAACTGATGAAGTCCCCGCTGGACAGCAGCTCCTACGCGGAGCGGAGCCCGACAGGAAGCCCGGTCCGGGAGGACATCTATGCCTACCAGTTCAGCCCCTTCCCTGGGTTCAGGTTTGTGCTCCTGGATTCCTATGATGTGAGCCTGCTGGGCAGACAGGGCTCCAGTCTGCACTATAATACAGCCATGGACCTCATTAAGCTGCACAACAAAAACCAGGACCTCAACTGTCCTCCAGGTATTACTGCAAAAATACTCTAATGGCAATAAAAAGCCTTTTTAGATTTATTTTTTTGTATATATATATATATATATATATATATA